AACTGACTAATGAATTAATCAACTGATCGTTCAGGACTGCACATATAGAATATTAAATGAGAGACTGGGTAGGATGTAGTTTGTAACTTTTTTGTTGTAGAAATGACTTGACAGACTTAGACCACATAATTGACTGTAAACCTGATTTCGTAGTTGTAACTGAGAAGTGTAAGCTACTAATCATGAAATAGCTTCATGTCTGGTGGACTGATGTTAATGAGTGAGTGTGCATTGTCAAAGGTGGTTATGTGTTACTGGACCGGCGCATTCATTTTCAACTTCACCTTCATTAGCCTATGCAAATACAACTAACCTTCTTTTCTATCTCAGCAGCTGGCCTTCTTCTCACCCATAAATACACATGAATGCCCAAGCCTTGAACTTCTTTTTGCCCTAATTATGTGAGGGAAGAAACACAGATAATGCTGAACTATCACAAATATATCACTTTAGTTCCCTCTACAACATAGTAAATAGTAAATGAAGGCCCATTGGAGGACAGCTTTGCTTTTGATGTTTTCCCACATCGAGCACTGAACTTATTGTGCCCAATTTTCTTCCTTCTTGCTTCCTTCTGTCAGTCATCCTGATCACTGTTCACCGCTCAACAACCTGCAGAGGAGAAGAGAGAACAGAGAGGAGGACATCGCTTCCTGTTAGAGCAACAATAAAGCAACGACACATAGAGAGGTGGTGAGGAAGGATTACAGAGAAGCTTTGCAGATCGTGGAGTGACAGTGATGTGGAGACCTGTGTTTGTGAAAGTGACTAAGAAAAAAGTTCAGAGGCAAAAGGAAAAAAAATTAATGAGTGACAGCTAAATGAGTTGACTTCAATATGCCACGTCCTCAGACAGACTGAGATCAAGCCTCAGAGGACATGCGGGGGCTTTATGAGATTAATTAATTTGACATTAGTATCTAAAATGATCCCTGAACTCCCAAAGTGACAGGGGGAAGTCAGAGATGAAAGCTGGACTGTGTGTGTGTGTCTGCGTGGGAGAGGGTTTATGAGCGTTATTACACATTACATATCCATTTAATATGCAAGGATATATAAGTGGAATTGTCACTTTTTATTGAGGACACTGACCCATATTGGCTAAGGACAGCAATGCCTCCAGCAAAAAAACACCAAGTGTTCACTTCTCTGATCTTATTAGAGCCCTGTGCATCGCACTAAATGTGCCGAAGCCATATAAAAGAAAACTAGAAGACAAAGTTGTTTAAGATCAAAATGAAAAGCAGACACGAGTGGGTATATTAGAGTCCATGCCCACGCAGCGTCCAGGCTTTCTTGCTGTCAGCAGTTATCAGTCGAGGAGCGAGAAATGATAATGATTTGTCATTACTGAGCATGGACAGGCGCTAAAGGTATTAAAGGTATTCAATGAAATTAATTTTCTGCTTTGTTGGATATCTCTGTTCACAACCTTATATTTAAGAGTGAGGCCAAAAGTAGCTACTGTATGCAAGTCATATTGTGTTTATTTTATCCTCAGGGAGATATCTTTAGATTTAAAACTGACTTTATATTGTTTCTCTCATCCTTTCCACAGCATCTTTGTGGTTTCCCTGACTACATCTCTTTGATAACAACATCCGTAGGAATGACATGGGTGCTTCACTCTTTCCTGCCAACCGTTCTTTCTTTCTCACAAACGCATTCATAGATACAAATAATTAATGGAAAACTCCCAGTAAATTAAACAGTAAGGCCTACATGGCTACACAGGGCACGGAGGGTCACTGAATGGTTTGATGAGTAGGAAGTTGCTGTAAATCGGAAGCTATGCTATCTTCTGAAAACCCATCGGAATTGAGCATTAAGGCCTGTAGTGTGAACGCAGCCACTTTAAGGCACAATGTGGAGGTAATGACACTACTCTGAGAAGCCGCCTAGGCCAAAATTGAATACTTCGCTTGCACATACATACATACTCGCTTGCACATACATACTGTACATATTTTCATTATAAAGTATGTATGTATCTGCAAGGTGAGTGTATGCGCAAGGTTAGTTTGTATATATGCGCAAGGTAAAGTATGTATATACTGCGCCCCTGTTTGCTGACTGAGTCTAGACTGGGCACCAGAACTGGAGCTGAACGAGCAGGTGAAACCGGGCTCAGCAGCCTCCCAGTTATCACGGACCGACGGGGACCGAACAGTTTGATGGCAAGAAATACAGTACAGATGTGATTTACGGCAGCTCTGACATATACTGTCAGACTATCACCTCTTGAGGTACAAGGTGGTATTACAACATCGGACGGCCCAGGGCTAGCTTGTTTGCACGCTAACTTCAGTAGATATGTCTGCAGCACAACATACAGACGCCTTTGACATGACGTCAGAACAGTTACTTCTTCACATTCTATTAATAATATTTGTTTTTTATGTTTTAAACAAAAATTCTCCATATCTTACATACTTGTATCTGTTAATGTTTTAATCTTTGGGTTTTCATTTCAATTTATCAGATTGTGTATGCTTTTTGGTGTATGCTACACAAACTGCACTTTTCAGTCTGAACCCTCCTCTGCTGTGACATGTTAGCTGTATTGAGCCCTTTATGAAAATTAAACAAAAGTGCACTCATGCATAGATATGAACTCACGCGAGGACCCACTTGGTTCACCCTTTTCCTGGAAAAAACACACATGGACACGCACACACAGACACAATGCAGTCGAAAACAGGGTGTGCCCCCTGTTGTTAACACCATCTTCTGTTTGACACCGGCTTTATACATATGCTAATTCACCTCCATTTCAGCGCCACCGTAATGGATGGGGTGAGACCAGCAATTAGATACTAGAGAGAAAAAACCAAGTGAGAGAGAAGCCGAGAGAAGAGTTATGTATCTTATCTAGCCCACACAGAGACAGACCCATTCTTTTTTTTTTTTTGTACTCGACAACACACCTGAATTTCATTCATAAATAAAACATTTAATCTACATCTGGATGAACTTAAATCCAGGCCAAATGTATTGTTTGCAGGAAAATTGGAATAAAATCCAAACGATAGAGAAAGACCTACAACCTGTGCGTCATCTTTGTTCCTCTTACAATTACGTTGGCCGAGTGACGTTATAGGTTGAATGAATGTTATATAAATAGCCACCATCACATATAGTCAATCCCCCCTTGGGTTTTGTGTTTGTGTACCCAGTGTGCGAGGAGGGCAGCGTGCCCGACGCTGTTTTAATTGGCATGGCAGAGTGCCAAATGATGGATGGATGGCTGGGTGGAGAGAGACTGTCTCTCACTGTGTCTGTTTCTGAGTCGATGACAGCCATCTGCCATTTCCACAGGCGACTCTCAGCACTGTGTGTTGGTGTACAGTCACTTGTCTGCTCGCTCTGTTGCTTTCTGATGTGCTTGTGCATATGAACATACTACTGTATGTACACTCTAGAAGCCCTGTCAACTCCAAAATGCATTGCCAACACAGATATTACTGTAAAGCACAGTAGAGCTGTGAATACAACACTGACACCTTTTAAGTCGATATGGCTGTGTATTCACACATTCAGAGGCCTTGTTTCTGGACACCTGGTTTATGCAAGTCTCTAATTCACTCTCCCTGTGGCTCTGATTTTAGCCTCTGCCAACTCCTGAGTGTAATATGTGGCTCTCTAGCGGTTAAATATTCCACTATGTTCATCAGCTAATCGTTGAATCTTTGTGTCTGACGTTTGGTAGAAGTCAGTGCACAGTGGGTGTTTAGAGTTTTTGTTGCTCAAAACAGCTGCCTGCCGTGGCCCGAAAATGATAAAAGTGGTGAGAATGACCCAAAACAGTAAAGTTGCAGTGAGCTGAAAGATGCTACATAGAGTTAAGGGGAACTGCAGAGTCGGGTGATAATTCTCCGTGAGTAACCCATTTCACATTACACATAGTTATTTAATCCATTGTTATTAAAAAAAATATTGATTACAACTGCTTTAAAGGTCCAGTGTGTCTTATTGAGGAGGATCTATTGACATAAATGCAATGTAATATACATAACTATGTTTTCAGTGGTGTATAAAAACCTTACATAATGAACCGTTTTTATTACCTTAGAATGAGCCATTTCTTTCCACATACACTTTTGGTCCCCTTACAAGGACATTGCCATGTTGTGCTGCCGTGAGGGGTGCGCGGTGAGTGAGCAGTTGGTTGCAATTTGCAACCCTCACCAATAGATGCCACTAAAACTTACACACTGAACCTTTAAAGCAAGGATTATACTTTCCGTATCCATGAGTACGCGAGGGTCCGCTAGCGCTACAGGCACATTTGTGGTAACCTTCTTTGACTTTTGTGCATGTGCAGATAGGGATCCGGCAGACAGTACCAATTGGGTACCTACATACGCTTACCAGGGCACCAACCAATCTACTGCGCATGTGTGGAATGAGTTCGCCAAGCTGACTCCAGAAAGTAGTATAAATAGAAGTAGTCCACGTCTGTGGGGTCCGCAGCTGTCCGTGTGTACGTCCGCTCCAGAGTATGTTCGAGGCTTAAGGCTGCAATTAAGAAGAAGATTTTTATTTTCAGTATTTTTCATTTCATCTTTTGATTATTTTGTGGTGACTGATTCTTTGTTTAGTCACTTACACGTCTGAAAGGAAATGTCCATGAAAGGTAACACCTCCATGTTGCTTGTTTTGCTTGACAGTTATCCTTGAGTTTCGCTTGTTAAATTGCTGAAATGATTACTTGATTGTTATAATTGTTTGCAGTTAATTTTCTATCAGATAATCAAGGAGTCGCCTCAGCTACTTAAGTGCAGCACGTGTTTAGTCTTTGCACAGTGTTGCATCATCTGCCCACTGGATCCCTGACACACAGCCACCATCTCTCCAATCGAGGCTGCATCCCCACTACGCTTGCTCTTTTCCAGATGTGCTGTATGATCTGTTTTTGTCCATCAAAGCAAACACGCAGCTGTTTATCAACGGCTAGCTCTGTTGAGTCTTACCTCTCCTGTTTGCTTGTGTGTTCACAGCTCCTGGGCTTCGTGTACGCCTGTTATGTTGTCAGCGCCATCACTGAGGAGGAGGACAGCTGTGAGTCGTTTAACCACACACACACACACACACACACACAAACCCATTATTGAAACAGAACATGCAACAATTAATGAATTACACTCAGACCCAGTCACACAGATGACACGGAAAACACCCGAGTTGAGGAGAACAGGGCTACATCTTTCTTCATCTCCCTCTCTTCCTATCCCACCCTACACTATCACCGCTCCAGCTCTCCCTTGTCTCTCTCCTCCTCCACACCAGCTGGGCCCTCTCTCTCTCCCCCTCCAGAACCAAAGGAGCCATGTGTTCCCTCTCCACACCTCCTTCAGCCCATTCTTTCCTTTCTCTTTCACGTGTTCGCCCCATCTCTCCTCCTTGCCGGTCTGTGTGGTCCTCGCTGTTGTTGTAAACCTGTTATTCGCCTCCTTTTAATGTACTCCGGCTTTTCACTTTTCCCACTTTCCCCTCTCCGTGTGCCCCTGGCTGTTGCTCCAGATGTCTGTTGCCTGGCTAGGGTAGCTGTTTTTTATGCTGCAGGATTGCACCTCCCCCGCTCTTGTGTTCACACACACACACACACACACACACACACCTTCCCTCCTCATTCCTGTCTCTCTTGCATCTAGTCAAACATGAACATCCTTCCTCTGAAGTGAATCCTCCGTGTGTTATCTACATTCTCTAGCTCCTGTCTGTGTATGTTGGTCTGTGTTAAACCTTTAACATGAAGTCGGATGAGGACGAGAGTTATTCTCGACTCTCACTGTTTTCACTGTCAGGCATAAAGCAGGCAGAGAGTGAAGAAAAGGGTGTGTGGGGAAAGACGACGGGGGATCATGAAATGAGTCATAAGAGAAGAAGGAGAAACCAGAGACAGACAGTTGTGATAAATGACCCAGCTGCTGTGACCTCATAGGCAGCAGGTCAGAGGTCCTGCTGGAGGTTAGCCAATCAAAGGACAGGAAACATTTGATCTAAGGGTGAGTGGGAGTCATAAATATCTGATTAGCTCTGCAGTAACTCTCAGGGACACATAGTGATGTCCACGTACATGAGAGCCTGCCTTTACATATGTTGGCCTTTTTTTAGCTAGTGCTTTGAAACCAAGAGGCTGAATGGACAAGCTCTCTCTGTGAGGATTAACTAAGATTAAAAGGAGTTTTGTGAGAATGCTAATTATGCAGTATCAGAGTGGAGCCTGGCTGTAATCACGTTAAACACGATTAAAGTCTTGTAATTTGGGGGAATTGTGGTGTGGTTTCCATGTGTGTTCCTGTAGATTAGTGGTATCGAAGTCCAAGCAGCTCTTTGGTGGCCACATACCAGAGATTCACTGCCTGTGAGTGGTTAGCATCACTACCCTACCGATCTCCTCTGCCCCCAGCTCTGGGCAGTACCACTTAATCACCAGTCACTCCTAAGTAATCCCTTGAGGGCAATGTCATTTCAGCAGGAGTCAACTAAAAAAAAAAAAACTTTCCAACCTCAACGACTTTTCCTTTTGTTTTTGTGACATTTGAGCTTCGTTCACTCCCTGTGTGGACTGTTGGCACAGATTCTGTTTGTTTGAACTCATAGCGGACAGTCACCCTCACTCGAGAAAAACAGAGATAAAAATAACGAGAGAGGTTGGTGTAAAAAAGCTTGATGTAAAAACTGAACATGCTTTGAACTGGTTGAAATTATCTGGTAGACCCTCTCTGATCCAGGCCGTGGTAGTAAAACGCTGCTACGTCGCTTCCAAATGCTAGCTCTTTGTTATTGTAATTAGCTCTTTGCCTGCACGCACACACACACACACACACACACACACACACACACACACACATACAAACGTATTTGTTAATGCAGACACAGGTGTACAGACACACGCGCACACTTGCAGCAACAGAAAAACAAGCTATGGCACTTTGCCGTCCTCATTTTCCCCCTCTCATTTGATGTGTAGATTAAAGCAAGTTTCTGCATTGAGCTCCCTGGCTGCCTCAGCATCTCTCCTCCTACTCAGAACTTTTCCTTCTCTTTACTTCTCCCTCGTATGCTTTATTTCTGTTCCCGGTTTCTTCAGAGGTAGACGGAATAATCATGTATCAGAATCTAATTTTCGTGTGTTTAAGAATTCTCTTGCTGGCTCTTCTTCCATCTCTAGCTTTCAAGCTTTAATGAGGTGTGCTTGTAGAAAGTTAGAGGTCTCTGGTCACTCGTTGTATCAGCCCCATTAAGCACCTTGCTGGTCAATAACTTTCACCGTTGATTGCGCCTCACCAGGAGAAGAAAGGTAGGGAGGACCCTCAGGAGAGACAGAAAGCGAGGGAAAGACGGGAAGAGCAGTGTGTAAGGGGAGCAGGGGGAGGTGTTTGTCAGGAGCAAGCCAAGGAGGCAAAAAGGGGATGGAGTAATAAGCGGGAACAAATAACATGAGACAAGATGAGCTTTTCGCGAATAAGGAGAGAAGACAGCAATTCCTCTCACGACAAGCACTCTCTCACTCTCAAGGGAGGCGAGTGAGTTAGGCTTGTGTAAAAAAATAGCGGAATGAAACACATACGTGTGCGCGCGCACACACACATTCACCCACACTCGCGAGAACCCAAGAAGGCACAATGGGCAGAATAACAAGCATCATATACCATCAGCTCAGTGTTTGACATGGCTTTCAGGCTTTGTGTGTGTGTGTGTGTGTGTGTGTGTGTGTGATCTCCCTTTCAATGTGATTTGCTCTCTTCCTCTTGTCACATTATAAGTGCATGTGTGTGTGTGCATGTAAGCTCACACGTACCTACTGTCTAAAACGCGTGCATTTTTGTGTGTGTGTGTTTAGCTGACTAACCGTTCGCATATAGATGTTTGTGTGTATTTTTGTGTGTGAATTTCTTCTACTGAGTTATCGGTGGTGAGCAGACGCACCGACAGAGTGAGTGGTGGGGAAAATCCTCTTTGTAAAGTAGGTCATGGAGTTAGAAGCCTAGTGCTGGGATAAGCTCGCTTTAGCATGTCTGCTAATTATGCTGCCGCCCTCTGTGCTGAGTCACATCCCCAGAAAATCCTCCCCTGCAGACAAAGAGACTTGGAGGGATGGATGGGTGAGTAGGTGGGAGTGTATCCTAAGGTTGTAAGAAGAGTGAAAAGGTCAAAACATCAAAGGGGGGGGAGGGGGGGGATCCTCACCTTGTTTTTAATGTTATAGCCTCAAAATGATATTTAAAATGAAGTCAAACAAGTCGAACATTCAAAGAGTGTGATTTCACGGGACACATTTTGACATACCACAGTAGGACAAGCACAGGTGTAAATAATAGAATGAATGCTGGCTGCATACTATTTAGCTGCTTCAATTTCTGGGTCCTGTTATTGTGCGTTGTTGGCTTGCTGTCACACTGTCATGGTTCACTGAATGAAACTGTGACAATTCAAAATGTCTGCTGTGAAATTCAAATAAATAATACAGCAAAAAAAAAAATTGATTTGTTTCTAATGCATGCTTCTAATGTAATCAGCATTCTTCTAAAGTATGGCAGATTGCACTAGAATCTAGAAAAAATGTCAGAATCATATGATTCCCAGCTTGCAAAATAATGAATTGTCTTAAAACAATTAATTGACTTTTACACCACATTCTTTGTTTATATTTGTTTAGTGAAACACCAATAGTCCATCCACACAAATGTTTTCATGTGGTTGATTGACAGATCGCTCACCCTCTTATTTGTGTTGCACCTGTTGGGGCGGAACAACTTCCACTTTTATTATTCTTACTGGTGCATAGAGTTTAGTGCAATTCTGAGTATAGCTCCACCCAACATGACTACAGGTCTAATCAGGCAGAGTTATTGAAAACACCTTGGTGGGTGCGCCGAGCCTTTAAGCTGCATTTTTAGGCAAATATGCATCTGTGGGTAGAATTGAAGATATAATCAACACAAGGTGTGTGTGTTTTCCCCAAATCACATAATCAGTAGTATTTACGTATTATTTACAATTGCTTATTACTTGTTACTGTACATTTGACCTACAGTATATTCACTGTCATGTTTTTGCCATCATGTCCAACTACTTTCTTCCTTTTGTTGCCCATTTGTAGTTGCTGGAGCCGTGTCAGTTATAAACAGACAGACAGAAACACATTTCAAGCAGTTTCTTTATTATATAAATGAAGTCGTATGGATTATGGATGTGATTGAGTCCATGAATGCATGAATATATGACTGAGGATATAATAAAGTCAATGTGGACATTGTATGACAAACAGGAAATTGGCAGTTGCAGTGACTAAGACATAAATAATGAGCATTTTATACCAATACCCATTCACTGAAAAATAAACACAGTGGCAGTATTTTCTGTGTTTGTCACATCGAAGTTCTCACCTGTTCATTTTCATTTAGACATAATCCGGCTAGACACACTTTCCAGAGACTCTCCTGGTCTGCCTTTTCACGGATGATTAACTTTAAATACACTCTCATTCAAACGTAACTGAAGTTTTCATATGCAAAATAACTGAGCATAAAACAGCCAGACCGGTCTTTAAAGTAAATGAGTAGCCTGGATTGCAATGATGGCTGTGTAATGGTGTGTGAGGACAGAGATGTAGTATTGCAGAATGGAGCCAACTATGAGGATCTCCCTTAAATGCCGCTTGTGTGTGTGTGTGTGTGTGTGTGTGTGTGAGAGAGAGAGAACCACAACTGTGTCTTAACCTTTTTATATACAGTCTATGGTCTTAACTCACCACTTACAGCTTTACAGGCAAGCTCTGAAGTCTGTCTACCCTTTATCTCTCTCTCTCCATCTTTGTCTCTGCCCTGTCTCACCTTGTTTTTCTCAATCTTTCCCACCCTACGCTCCTTTCTTCTCACAAACCCTGTTTTCCCCCTCCCGGTGTTTTTTTTCTTATATCTCCATGTCTGCGTTTCATTTCACTGTCAGCTCACCAGCCATTTCACACAGCAGTACGCTGTAGATTGACTGTCAGCATCTCTGCTGGTTCATTACAGGTCCTCTGATTTCAGCCAGTTTCCACTTGAACAGAAACATAATCATCTTACATTACTCCCATGCTAGTTTAGGGGTACCACATAGATGCCTTTAAGTATTGACCTACATACCTTTGTTTCTTGCCTGTGTCCACACGAGTGAAAATTGGCTTGCTCCCTCTGCCTGGAAGAAACTAAGCTTGCCCCTTCCATCATTACAGGATCAAATGCGCCGATCAGCTGCCAAAATCTGTTTCCAAAGCCACCATCCAAAAGAGAAAGGACTGTTGAATACACTGTTTCATGTTGAAAGTTTTCCCTCTTCACTGAAATGCCAAAATATTAGAAAAGTGCTTGAAGCATCTGTTGAAAATGAACATTCTCCAGCTTTTTACATCCATTTTCAAAGGGTTGTTTACAAAGCAAGTATAAAGAAGTCTCAAACACTCCCCAAACGTGCAACACATCACAAGATATCACCTAACATATGTTAGTGTTTTCCAAATGCTCAGTTTTACTGTTGAAACCAGAAATATTCGACCCTCAGGGTTCGGTGAGCTGCATAGAAGATCCACCTCAACATCAGGGTCAGACCAGTGTGTGTAACAATTAATGAGGAAAAGGCTCAACGACGGAGATGCAATTAACTGGCTGACATGCAGCGTACAGTATGGAGGAGGGATAGAGCTCAGGGTTATAAATGACGCTTTTAATAAAGTGCAACAACTAATGATTTGACACATACAATGTCTTCATTAGAATAAGAGCAGATATTGGCACAGGGGCACCTGTTGAGGCTCAGATTCTCAGCTCTAAGATGGTGGATACGCTGTGATCTCTCCTGCTAATTATGAAATTATTAAATTGCTTTCCTGTGGATGCTGCACGAGGGATACATGACAGGAATTTTTTGACCTATTTGTGGTGCTGGATGAGATCACCAGAGTCATTAGAATCCCCCCTCTAGAGAACATCTGTGCCACATTTCACAGCAATCCATCCAATAGTTGTCATGATATTTCACTCTGAACCGAAGTGTTTGATTGACAGACCTGACAGTCAGAGTGACCGGCCGACACTGCCATCCCTAGAGCTGCTAGTGCGCCTAAAAATGGCAACCATCATTATCATCTAACTGTATTCCGCACAGTTTATCATGGCAGGGAATGAATCCCCACCCGCTTATAATGAGAAAATCACTGGTACAGAAAAGAGCAGGGAAGAGGTGTGTGTGTGTGTGTGTGTGTGTGTGTGTGTGTGTGTGTGTGTGTGTGTGTGTGTGTGTCCAGATGAAACAGAAAAACATAGGAAACCAGGGCAGGATCCCCCCCAGCTGTTGGTTCCCAGAAAGTAACAGATCTGCCCATTAAAAATTGTAGCTGTCCTCTTCAGCTTGGATCTGCTATTTGTTTGGTGTCGTTTTCCACTGAATCAGATTCAATCTCAGTTTCTCCTTTTTTCTTCCCCTCACGGTGTTTACAGACGGCTCTCAGCTCCTGTACATGCTGGCCTCTTTCACATGCACTCCTTTGGCCTAATCTCTTTGGCCCTCTGTCAGTCAGACCGATGTGCGTGACGCGCCCCTGTCCTCCCCTCTTTTTCTCCCCTCTCTCCCTCTCAGCCTTTTGTGTTCCCCCTGAAGAGCCGCAAGCCTTTCTCCTTCATCTCAAAAATATCAACGTGCCTCTGTGAGGAATACACGGTGCTTCGGTTACCAGCATGTCTCTCTCTTTCTCGCCCGACACATCGCTCGCTTCGTGCCTCATCAGCACCTCGCCTGGAGTCTGAACTCTAAGTGAGAAAATTAAACAGGAAGGGTTGAGCGTTCGGTCCGTGGCTGAAGGTCACCTCTGTTTTGGAGCGATAAAAGGGCTTACGCTATTGTGACAGCTGGCCAGCTTTCACCTGTTCCCGAGCGTTGCCTCTGGCTCCAGGCAGATGCACAGATGGGGGAAAAAAAAGTTATTTTATTTGCTAGAATTTTATTTGTCAAAGTTAAAACTGAAAAAAACATTGTAGCGTTCTTGGCAAGCCACTTCCTTTCAACATCCCTGCAATAGTTTTGTTCCCACTGTTTTCTTTTTTTTCCATTTCATTTCTCATTCAGCTTTTTTTTGTTTTTGGTCATGCATGTCTTTTTATTTGCTTCGGCATCTTATTCTGTTATTGTCTGTCTTTTTATTTACTCCATAATGTATGTGTCTAATCCTTTTGTTTTCAGTTGATTTTATTGGTGGATTTGACCCATTCCCACTCTACCATGTCAATGAGAAACCATCTCATCTCCTCTTAAAGCCCATGTACCAGTAAGTATGAATGTGCTGTCATGACACTGTATGTGTCCATGTGTGTTAAAATGTGGCCATAGGAGCACGTGCATGTGAATATTCACACTAGCCGTTGCCTTTTGTGGTCACATCCAATTTGGGTTGTGTCTATTTGTTGCTTTGCATGGAATTGTTTCCTCTTCAAGGTCTCATACTCACAATTTTCCCTGAAACTGTATAATTTTTTTTACAACATAATCTCAACTCAAGGCCCACTTACTCGCTTGCTCCAAGCAGTTTTAGTATTTGACCAGGATCCAGGATGTTACAGAACAACACTGACTCATAGTGACTGTGCGGACGGTTGCCTGCTCAGTATCTGGAGCTTTGAGTCATGTCTGGGGAGTAAACGTCCTCCTAAAACATGCTACATCCTGTCAGAGTCCTGTAGGGAGTATGAAAGCCTTTCACGACACTGTTGTGTGTGTAGTGTAGATGTGTCCCCACTCCGCGTGGCAGTTACTAATCGAAGCACATGGAGCAAAACATACAAAAAGTCTGTCTAGAATTGGATAAATCAATTAGGTTATGCAGAGAACTTAATAACAATAAGCCTGGGAAGCCATGTAATAATTCTCTGCCAACATGAAATGAATATTTTATTAGCTTCTTGACAGTTTAATCAGCTCCGTCTATAATGGGAGGGAGGAAGTTTTTGTCTCCCATCTGTGTGTGTGTGTGTGTGGATGTCAGTAAAAAGTGTCTGTGTCGCCCAACAAGCGCTAACTCTCTGCTTTCTCTTCCCATGTCTCTGTTCTCGGCAGGTCTACGTAAATAGGAGAACGTCCATCGAGGGAGGTGACACAGCAAATTCCCACGGAGAAGAAATGGCTGTTTTGACGCAAATGCCCCAGTGCACCGGGGCACGCCAGACATTCCTCCCCTTCTTGATTTCAGTACTCTAAACATGTCATTTACTGGTGTGCTTCCCAGAAAAGCCAACACTTCTCAGTTAGGGTCCATTGTTTTCCAGGGAGGGATGACGGGTTCGGGGAAAAAGGGGGGATTACAGTGTAACAAAGCCTCATATTGTGTGTTTAGGGAAGTATCAATCATTTTCTTTGTATTGAGTTCTCTGCTGAGGTCCCATTGCTGTGACCTGCCTGTAATGGTTTCATACTCCCCAAGAACATGCATATAGAACATGTACAGCCTATAAATACACTGTGTATGTAATCAGGGACTGCCCAGCATTCCCAGTCTGTGGTACTGTGTCTTAGAGGACTCAGTGATTTAGCATGTTATTGCTGGTTTGGATCAGATTTTGGCCGGAGGGCTGAATTACAGTGGAGCCTGTGGAATGAGCTATTGTGCGCTGCCTGTTTACTTTAGGCCAGGATCTCTGTGCATAAATACACGAGCAAAAGCAGGAAGAGGCAGGGGAGTGGAGGAGGAGGTAGAGGGAGGGAAGGGAACAAAAGCACCAAACCTACAGGGGCATCTATCAAAAATAGAAAATGTAAATAATGAAACAAGTGGGAACGGGGTGTGTTTTGGATTTAGAGATTGAAATGTGAACTAATAAGAATGCCAAAAGAGCGTTAGCGTGCAAGAGGTGTTCAAACACAGGGAGTCTTAACTTTTTATGTCTGGAGTCTTATTATTGTGACTGTTTTCACCAACAGCCGAGTCAGGAGCTGAAGTGTCAGGTGTTTCTTAGAAGATGTGCTGAAAGCTTCTGTTTTTCCTTTCAGTTCGTCTCCTCTTAACTACTGACACATCGGGCTGCCGAGGGGGGTGATCATTACACACACTCAAAGCAAAGGTTACACAGCGTATATATTTAACTTTGAGAAAACAATATAAATTGTTTCGCTATTCGTATTGCACACAGCGTTGTTGAAATGTATGGGTACGGTCTCCGGTGTAGAAGTAGCAAGGCCGTACCCGAGTGAACCGGAGCGCTGTCTCCTGTCAGTTCAACAGTTTAGCTCCTCAGTGGTGACAGTCTCAGCTGTGATTGTTTTATAGCATGTTTTTTTTAAAGGGTTTGTATTGTAAGTGTGTGTATAACATATTAATGAGTAACTGAGATACTGATGTCCTCGACTCTGCTGATTTTATTTTATCCAGCAACGTAACGCATCTTTTTCTTTAAGTGCACACACGTAGGTCATATCTCCTACACTGATTCATAGCACTTTTTTAGCTAATATTATCCCTTTGTCAACATCTCTGACTAAAGTCAATTTGAGTCACATTCCCTGGCGCCTTACTGTTTGTGTGGATCACTACTGCTCTCTGGTGTTGGAAGTGTTCATGTACAAGCTGCAAGGCTTCTGAGCTTCTGCTACAGGTATGCTCTTTCATAAATCTCCATGTTTTGTCAGCACCTTTTTTATGTGTGTGCAGAGAACAGTAAATCTTCATATACTTTAATTTTGCTGGGTAACTGTCATGTAGGAGGAGTCAGCGTTTTGCCCTGGTTGTTTGAATGTTACACTCTTTATCATTTTTTTTTCTTTTTTTTTTACCCACTACATTTGAATCCAGAACACTTTCAGTATGTTAGTTGTTTGATGACAGCATTTCTTGGTGCTAACTTTAAAATTGTCTGCTTGGTTTATTTTTAATCAAAGGAGTTGTGAACAAAGTAGTATTTATTTTTTGTTCCCTGTCTGTTGTCCATACCTAAAAATAGCCTGCTCTGTGATATTTGATGTTCTTCACTGCCAGATACAGTCCACACGCTGTTAAGATCCTGAAAATCATCCGACCACTTCTGCTGGCTTATTTTCAGAATGATGAGTGTGAACCATTTTGATTTGATTGGTCACATCTCTTGTTTTTTGGCAAGATGCAATAATTTATGTCATTATTGTCTTTTAATAATTTAATATTCACACACTCCTGGTAGGCTAACTGGTGTATGGATTAGTGAAAACACACAGCATATGGAAACATAATCAGTATTAGTAGTAAATGCTACTAAAATCGTTATGTAAAAACAAGTCTTCCTCTCAGTGCAATACAGCCTCTTAAACCCCAGTAACTGGAAATTAGTTGAAACCTTTTACGGTTGTGTATGTATGTGCCAGTCTCCACTGAAGATTCCACCTGTTTGTAGATAATTCTCTTTCTTTGTATAGAAAGTGGAAAAGATCTCCTTTTTTTGTATTTCTCTCTACTATTTTGTGTCCTGTGTTGCGCCCCGCCCCATGTGACCTGATTGTGTAATCCTATTTATCCAGAACTTGTGCTTTGTGTTCATGTAAATAGGTGTTTGTTAATAAAAGAATGTGCTCTTTTAATGATCATGTGTGTCATTCAGTTTGCCATGTATGTAAACACTGTCATATCTGCTCTTAGGGAAGTGCACCTTCTGACATTCATAATGACAAGATAGCTATTGAAAAGCTTAAAATGTTTATTATAGGAAATGAGCGGTAAACTCTGACAAATCAAGCCACCAGCAATCATCTATTTTTTTATCAGTACAGGGGAAAATGAGTACCGAGGAAACCCAAGGTCACTCATGCACCACCTGTGTAGCAGCGCCTTCTCACTTCAGCCTTAGGACATGAAAGCGCGAACACTGCCTCTAATGACGGCTCTGCAAATGGGGCAGTGACGCAGGCTGGCAGCGCAATCGCCACACACCACCAGATGACCACAGGGGATGAAGACGATGGACACCAGTTTGTCCATGCACACCTTACAGGTCCTCTCCTCTTGCAGCTGCCTCAGCAGCTCCTCTGGACTGGGATCCTTCACTGTTTGAGAAACCACCAACAACAGGAAAAACAGATGAACACACACACATGTTGTGTCTTAAGTGTAATCGCTGCAGGATAGAGCAATCATATGTCAGCAGTTTAACTGTGTGATTGATTATGAAATGTATTATAAGCACAAAAGTTGCCTTTTCCTGTAAACCATATAGGTGTAGACCTCTGACCTTTCTCTCTGACTGGTGTTTGTGTCCTCACATTTCCAGCACTGGAGCCCTGCCTCATCTCTGGCTCTAAAGGAAACAAACATGAAAACAAAGACAGTCAAACATATTATGAACTCAAGACATACATTGTAACAGTGATATTTGGACTATTATTAATTATTAATTTTAATTTATTAAATCAAAATTAATTCTCTAGTCGGCCATTGCCAGTGGTGGAAGAAGTATTCAGATCCTTTACTTAAGTAAAGTACCAAAATACTCCTGCATGTAAAATCTTACTTACTTATGTACTTAAATTATCAAAACTAAAAGTACTTGTTCTTCAGTGAAATGGTTGTTGACTATATTATGTTATATAATAGATTGTTAATATGGATTCATCAATGTGTTTGCAGCATGTTTCTGCTGTAGCTGATAAAGTTGGGGCTAACTACTTTACATACATTTAGACCAGGCAGCTTTCTTGTAAGAGATCACCAGCTAAAAAAGGTTGGAAACCACTTGTTTTGTGTTGTATTTTATAAGGTCATGATATGTGTTTTATGTAAAATATTAATCTGAAAAGTAACTTGTAGCTATAGCTGTCAAATAAATATGGAGTCAAAAGTACAATAATTTCCCTCTGAACTGTAATGGAGGAGAAGTGTAAAGTAGCAGAAAATGGAAATTCTCAAGTAAAGTACCAGTACCACAGAACTGTACTTATGTGCCATACTTGAGTACAGAGTGACTTTCCACCGCTGGCTGTTACCTCTGCTCTGTGGCCCCCTCTGTCTGTCCTCTTGCTCCGCCTGCAGTACATCAGTGACCAGGTCGGATACAGAAGTGTAGTGCTGGCCTGTCAAAAGGTACTTGGTCTGGACAAGACTCTCCACCAGGCTGGCTTCAAAGCCCATCTGCAGCACGGTCTGCACCACGGGAGAAAGCATCACAGAGGAAGCTCCCAGACCTCCCACCATATCTGGAAGATGAGAGAAGGGAAGAAGTGAGAAGGAAAAGACCAGTGACCAGCCACAGACAGCGCAAAAAAACATTGACATATCCACTAGATGTTATCTAAACTATAAGCTATCAATGCGATAAGTGGGTAAATAAAATGACAAATTGCGCAACTTTGTCAATATAGTGTAGGGTGTAAAATAAACGAAGCTCGATGGAAAGACAGTTTGTTGAATGCAGGACCGAAAACCCAAAAAGGCACAGGTAACAAACAAAAAACAAGTTTCGGTTCTGTAGATAGCCTTTATTCTACAACTGGTGACAGGTGAGCTCGCATCAAACATGCAGAAATGAATCTGGGGTGGCTGTGGCCTGGCTTTATATACACATCTTCCCTCTCTACTCTGCCCCTGGCACGTGCCTTTCCCTCACTTTCCCAGTGTCTCCTTGTAATTCCCTATCCATATTTACAGCCCGACTTGAGTCGTTAATTGCCCACTTCAACTCCTAGTCCTACTCCTACAATGGTTGCATCACTGCCTCTGCAACTGGCATCTTCCTTTGCTGACTTTAGCTTGTTCTTATTAACCCCAGACTCACTGGTGGCCGGGGGAAGAGGGAATTCCCCTGGGCCTCCATTCCTGGTAGGCCTCTGACCAGCCACAGTCACCTCTGGCACACTACTTTTCTGTTAATATAGTAGAAAGACTTTATGAATATACTAACATAATTATATGAATATATTGACTTACATATAGCATTCAAATATATGATTGTCTAATAATACTGATTACTTATAATATGCAAAATATGTTGAACCCTAACTCATAGGCACATTTATCATTAACCTTTGGCCTATTTGTACTTAATTACTATGTTATATTGGAAACTGATTTATAACACAATTTAGCCTTAATTTTTGCTTTCTGCAATGGATTTAACATTTCAAACTGTTACGGTGTATGAAATAATTGCCCTCTCATGGCTGCCCTGCCACCCTGAGCAACAGTTCAGTGGTTTTCTAACTCCCAACTTACTGCAATACCATAGCACACATTAGCTGAGGTGATTGAGAGTGCGGTTATTTAATTTTCAGCAGGTCCAGCTTTCTTCCAAAGATAGTCTGTTCAGTCTTTAATTTCTGATTTTAAGTAGTGCTGGTACAAGGTATGCTTTCACCCTTCAAGTCCATGTTTTAACCAGAATGGTTCGACCAGGTTAATCTAAGAATGATTTTATCAACTGGTTTGTGGCCTTTATTTTCTCATTTTGCACAACCTGTGATGGAACTCACAATGTTTGCTCCAGCTTTCCGCTTTTGTATGAACAAGCAAGACTGCATGTTGACACTTTGATTCTTTGCACTGCAGGATACACAAAGATAATTACTAGCATCAAAGCAGGCTAATATCTTGTTATACACATCTATTAGGTAGGAATAAAGTTTCTTGGTACACACCCGTCATTCCCTGCCTTGTTTCAATTTGATATGACTTACCATTTCTGGATCCGATATCTCTGCCTGTGGAGGTCTGTGATCCACCCTGGGAAAAGTTGTCACATTTTGAATTTACAAAGAAAGCCCTGAATGATTTAAAAGCAGCAGTGCCAAACTGTCATTCGTTAGTGTGCGATTATATTGTGAGCTATATGCCAAACTGATTTTATTCTGAGCAGATAAGAGGGATAAAGGCTCTCACCATAGTCTCACCCAGATGGAAATGAGCATCCTGAATGTTGCTGATATACTCCTGCCCTCTTGACTGGATCAAAAACTCACATCTGAGAAATGTAAAGAAGCTGTTTTATAATATGTAAAGCATGAATGCAGAACACAAAAACATGACACTGTATAGTACATAAAAAAACAAAACATTTAGGCAAATGATGTGTTCAACTGATGTCTTTATATCTGCCTTGTGACAAGTCCTGCTCTTACCGTGGAAACCACTTGGCGTGCTCCTGCCAGGGGTCGTCTCCTGGCTCCCAGTTCCTCAGCCCTCCATCACAGTAGAAGCATTTGACATTGTCACCGTGACCTGTGAGGGTGTACAGGAATACTGTGAAAAGACTCTAATGCCAGGAGCCCAGTGAATCTGTACAGCTGTACAATTGAACACAGAACATCGCTTTACACTCCCTTTATCCTAAATGAAAAAACTAAAGATGAATATATAGGGCAAATTGTACAAGGAATCAATCTCATGAGCTAACTAAACTAAACTAAAACCTGTCCTGTACAATAAAGGTGAATAACCCTCCTCTGACACCATCTCAACAAACACTTTACTCATTGTAAAGTTATTTTATTATTTTGTATTGGTTGCATTATGGGGTATTGCCTGAAGCTGTGGGACCCTACTTCTTTAGCAGCCCCAGCTTTGTCCAGGTTGTTCTATCCACAACATCATGACTCAGCAGGACAATTGTACCATGAACTCTCTCACAAAGAGAGGTCACTCTAGCAGTGACTGGGTCAGTGCTGAATATTTCACTGAAATATACTCACGGATACTCAAATGTAAAGCAGATGATTAGGGCAGAAAGGGTTTTAGGCTTTAAAGTGACACAATAGGCACCTGTGTAGAAAAATCCCGCTCTGGAGAGAACATCTGGCTGGACTGAGGCCTCTGTCGGCCAGTTGTGGAAAGTGGTGAGCCGGGAATCCTCCGCCTCCATCTCTGGGTAGACCGCTTGTCCAGCTGTGCCCTGGTCATCCATAGTCATTCTCTGGAGTTGACTCAACAGCTGGCCGTCCACAGAGTCGGAGGATCCAACTTGGAGTGGAATATTTCCCACAGCTCGGCCCAGTATGAAACCGCAAGTGGGGAAATGCCTCTTGTGCTCGATGGCTGGGCTGTCCCCGTGCACCCAACATCTTAAAATCCCTCCACAGCAGAAACATTGGACTTTATCCCCGGGGCCTAGAAAGAAGAAGCCCGCCTTGGCCAGGTCTCCAGATGTGACAGGTGCATCTGCTGGCCAATTCTGAAAAGTTCGAATCCTCTCCCCTTCTCGTCGCATCTGAGGCTCCTCGAGGATGTGCAGCATAGTACTCCTGTCATCCGTCATTCTGTGGCACGTAGGTCTTCCTTTCTCTTGTCCTCTGCCAGTCATCCCTTTTGCGGTCCATAGTGGAGCGCGCACTGAAGGTGAGTGCAACACACCAGCTGAAATAATATGATCAGCTGTGGGGGCCTGCACAGCGGCCTACAGGAGACGGCTTTCCAGAAAAGCCACCAAATGCCAGAATGTATGCTCATTGATCCTTGAATGAATGAAAGCCTGAACATGCCATGTTGCTCCGCCTCTTAGGAAAAACCATGTAGAGCATTTCAGAAGCATACCCTTACAGCTATTATGACTATAAAAGGAGTATTACGGAGGTATTAAAAAATACCATTGCGGACAAGAAGGACACTTCTTACAACCGAAAAGCTTACAACTGAATACCAGAAAACCATTTTAACCTATAGCTCTAGAATACACAAAGCACTGTGGTGCTTGTTCATCAGGGACACGCCAGATTTCAAAAAACACCCACAAACTTCATCTCATATAAGAAAGAAAACTTGACCTTTCAAAGTATTACAGTAACACTAAAGTGGCTCTTTTTCCATGTATATCTTATAAGTATTGACTCCTATGTTCTCTATTGGGGGTGTGTGTCCTCAAGCGCCTTTGTCAGATTGATAAAGGAGTTACTAAAAACATAAAATAATAAGCTGTGTTCCTTAGAAGAACAATAAGCTATAATACTAGCTTAAGGGTGTATCCTTTTATCCCTATTTGTGCGATTTGTTGTGTGTGTCAAAAGCTTTATGAAGACTTAAATCATGACATTTCTTTCTACAATAATTATAATACTTGGAAGTTTCATTGTTGACCAAATGTTTTAAACAAGACTGGAAATTATTGGCACTTTATACTGTCAGATTTGCTTGTGAAAATTAAGAGCTATAAACAGTGGGATATAGGTTTGACCTTTGACAGAGTTTAGGTGGCTGTGGGTGCATCATTGCTACCTCCTGGTGGTGAAAGAGAGTAATAACTACTGTAACCTATTGGCAGGCCAGAACTTAACCAGTTCATGTTAAATTGCTAGTCATGAATCCTGCTATGTGCTACATGCATGGCACTGGGAAACTCACACCCTGACTACAGTTTATTTGTCATGACAGTCGGATGCCCAACACAAATCCTTTACAAAGTAGCCTAACGTTACATCTCTCAGTGGGGTCGCCTGCCCCAAAATAGCTGGATGCAGGGTGGACTGTAACCACGAGGGGTTTGACTGATATTTGCATTTATTGTGCCCTTATTGAAGCTAGTTTCATCTATCACATTCCAGTAAGTCTCACATGAGCACTGCCCTTAACTAAACACTATCAGATCTTAAGGTCCCTGTAGAAAAACAAGCACAGTCTGCTGATAGGCCTAACTTCCCCCCTCGGCGTTGTTAACACCCACAGAGATTGCGGTGTCAGTAAAAGGAACAGTAAACTTTTTAAATGTTTATCAGTTGAATTGATTCGTTATATTTGTGTTATCTAGCTAAATCACACATTATATTAAGTCTGTAAAATACCAGACAGGATGCTCCAAACTTTTGCCACCCCGCGGGGATCGACGTGAACTGCAACGGCGGCTCATAGCCCGGATGGAGCAGCCATTGGGGAAGTGTAGAGGGCTTTAACGTAACTGAGGAGGGCTCGCTCTCTCTCTCTCTCTGGAATAATAAAGACTAAGTAAAAGGCGACCTTCGGATAGAAACATCCAACATCCGAAAGGTCGATTCGGCGACACATAACGTTAACTTGAAAATCTGTACCAGGACTTGACTCCTTTTGGACACAGTATCCGAGGCGACAGACTTGAACTGTGGAAGTTGGGATACGTGCACATAGCGGAAAATATACAGCTGAGCCTGCGCTACAACTACTAGCCTCACGCTAAGCGGCACAACTAGCCACAAAGCTAACTGTAATTAAGCTGTGAACTTGCCTTCAAATCACGGGGCTTGAAATCCAGTCACAAGCCCAGGCTCTGTGAGAATCCAGGGACTTGCTTAATGAATTATGTCTGCCACAAGCATTGACCCTCAGGTAGGAAAGCCGATGTATCTCGCTTGTAGAGAGCTTGCAAGCTAGCTACTTGCTAACGTTAACGATTTGCAGGGCTATGGCTATTCCTCGGAAGTGCTAGCTAGGCACTAGCGTTGGCCGGTGCATGTAGCTAGCATGTTAGCTACATTCCGTTAAACGGCTAAATGTCTTTAATGGGCATTTAAGAAAAGGGGCACTCAGACGTTAGCATGCAAACCGATGTGAAATGCACCTTTAAGACCATGTGTTTGTGCTACTAATGTAGTAGAAACAAATCCTCACCTATGGCTGAATACATAAAACCTGAAGCTAACACTGAACGAATTAAACAGAGCCTCAAGCTATCGTAACTTTACTCTTAAGTGAAGCTTAACTTTGTAACAAAGGTGTCACAAATAACGTTACCCGCATGGTGTCTAGGCTGACCAAATCTATTCAGCATATTATGGCAAACTGTGTTACAAGCTGCTATAATGCTACTGGCGTTTATAAAGCTGTTTTGAGAGGGATATGTAACGTTAGGCTAGCGATGTTGTGGTAACGTTTGTTGGTTGATTAACTAAGTTACCGATGTGTGTAACACCAAATAAATGACATCAACTATTATGGCCAACTGTAAGTATGTATAGCTTTCACTGTAGAGTAACGTTAACGTTTAGAAAAAAATGTTTTGTCTTTCCTCAGGAAGTTGTCTTAATGTTCAGCTTTTGAGTAACACATTGGTAACATAAGGGGCTGTACTCAGTCCCAAATTGTGTGTAAAATCTCAAATCAACTGAAAATAACCATGTGGTATCCTTTCTTACTTTCATGATCCAACATGGATGCAGAGATCAAAGGGACAAGCGTCTAAAGGTGAGTTGTGGCATCACAGGAGACTGAATCAAGAAAATTTGAAAAGTTTTTACCCCTGCACAAAAGGATGTCTCAATCAAATTTAAACATTTGGATAACTACACTGGTTCTGTCTCAATCTCACTGGTTTGCACACATTACATAGTCCACCTCCTGCTACATTAGTGAAAAAGGTCACTAAACTAGGAAAGAAGGTTTCTCTGTCGATGGAACAGTGGCAAGCACGAGCTGTAATATTTGCAAACCATTTGAAACAAATGCCTTAAATCATATTTTGGCAAAATATATGACCGGAACATGCATAACAGCTTCCCCTTAACCTTATAACCAGTTATGCAGAATGATTTAGGTCACTGGTTATTCATTGTCAGATCCTCACTAACACAGTGTTATAGCCTCTTAATTGTAATTTTTATGATTAAGTCATCTTTGATTTACTGCAGTTGCTGGAGGAGGTGGAGTGACGGTTATTCTCTTTATTTACAAGCCTGCCTGGCTGGCAGTAGGCCACAGGCTGATTCACCTCCAGGACAGGCTTGTCTCAAGGGCCACTGGGCTGTCTGACATGGCTCACTGATTACTTTCCTTTCTTTCTTTTTTTTATTTGTTTTTTAACAACTCGTCCCCATACAAGAGGGACAGAGTACTAAATGGGTGTGTGAATCATATTCGGTAGATGAGCATCAGTAAATCTTAATATAACACTAACATAATAGTGAAAACAAACAATTTTCTGCATGAAATATTATGGATAGAATATTTTAATGATATTGTGTCGTCATAGGGATATCTTTAAATCTATTATGTGCTGTGTTGGAGCTAAACAAATGAAATATGCTGTGTGTGTGTGTGTGTGTGTGTGTGTGTGTATATGTGTGTGTGTGTGTGTGTATATATATATATATATATATATGTGTGTGTGTGTGTGTGTGTGTATGTATGTATATATGTGTATATATATATACACATATATATGTGTGTGTATGTATGTATGTATGTATATATGTGTGTGTGTGTGTGTATGTGTATATATATATATAAATTTTCTGCAATATAATAATTTAAGCTTAGGTCACACCTTGATAGCTAAAACCACATATGCTATCTGTGGCAAAAAAAAAAAAAATAGAACCCTGTCTTCCATGCATGTATATTTAAATGTATATTAATGTAATTTTGTTTTGTTGCAGTGCAAAATGGTTCACTGCATCAGAAGGAGACTGTCCATGACAATGACTTTGAGCCATACCTCACCGGTCAATCAACTCAGGTAAACTCAATATTTTACATGTATATAATTTTAATAGGACAAATGTGTGCACACATCACCTATTAAAGCACTGAACAGATTTCTACTGTTAAGCATTATAAAACTCCTGTTGTGTTTAAAACAAATTTTTCACATTTTATAGAAACATAACATGATGATAGTTTTAGCAGATATATATAATGACTTTAAGTTATGTTAAATTATTGACTGACCCTAAAATAGATGCAAATAAAGTTAGTTATTCATGTTAAGTAACATTAGAAACCTGTTTAAGAGTTTATAAAGTGTATATAGAATAGGGATAGAACCATTTTATTTAATTTATAGATCTGATGTATGTAAAACTGTAAGTCACTTGCTAATGGCCCTGTTGGACTTCTTCCATCCAGAACAACAGCTACCAATCCATCACCGACCCCTACCTGTCCAGCTACTACGCCCCCTCCATTGGATTTCCGTACCCCCTCAGTGAAGCTCCTTGGTCCACAGGTGGAGACCCCCCTATTCCATACCTGACCCCCTATGGACCCTTGAGTAATGGAGACCATCACTTCATGCCGGACACAGTGTTTGGCCAGCCGGGGGGCCTGGGAAGCAGCATCTATCCCCACAGGTTTAACTTTTTCCCCGAAAACCCTGCCTTCTCTGCTTGGGGCACAAGTGGCTCCCAGGGCCAGCAGACTCAAAATTCGGCCTACGGTGGCAGCTACAGCTATCCTCCCAGCTCCCTGGGGGGCACCCTGGTGCCTGATGGTCAGACGGGCTTTCACAGTGACACCCTCAACAAAGCCCCTGGTATGAACAGCCTGGAGCAGGGTATGGTTGGCTTGAAGATCGGAGGGGATGTCACTGGCCAGGGGTCAGGAGTCAAAGCTGTGGGATCTGTGATTGGTGGACCTGCAGTGGCAGCCACAGGGAACGGAGCCACACCTATTGGAATGCCCCCATCCAAACCCACCTCCTGGGCTGCCATTGCCAGCAAGCCCGCCAAGCCACAGCAGCTGAAAGCAAAGGTGAAGCCAGGGATGCCTAATCCAGGGGGAGCTCTTCCCCCACCACCCATCAAACACAACATGAACATTGGGACCTGGGACAAGGGCCCAGTGACTAAAGTAGCCACAGCTCCACTGCAGCAACAGCAGCAGCCTCTTGGCCTGCCTCATGGATTGCCACCTCAAGGCCCCATGCAGCAAGGACACATGCAGCACCCCCCTCCCCAGTCTATGGTGCAGCCCCAGATGCAGCCTATGGCCTTACAGCCCCAGCCCCCCCATCACCAGCACCATCAGCCGCCACCTCAGCCCTACCAAAACCACACCCAGCCCCCACAACCCCAGACCCGCTGGGTTGCCCCACGCAACCGTAACCAAGGGTACGGGCAAGGTGGCCCTGGCCAAGACGGTAGTGGTATGATGGGTATGGTTGGTAGTGGAAGCAATTGCCCCCAAACTTCTACTAGCCAGGGACCTGGTGCAGAGTCCCACCCAGTTCTGGACAAGCTGCGTGCCTCTCATAGCTACAACCCCAAGGAATTTGAATGGAACCTCAAGAATGGCCGTGTTTTCATCATTAAGAGCTACTCCGAGGATGATATCCACCGCTCCATCAAGTACTCGATCTGGTGTAGCACGGAGCATGGCAACAAGCGGCTGGACTCAGCTTTCCGAGCCATGAACGGTAAAGGCCCCGTGTACCTGCTGTTCAGTGTCAATGGCAGTGGTCATTTCTGCGGCGTGGCAGAGATGCGTTCACCAGTGGACTATGGCACCAGTGCTGGTGTTTGGGCACAGGACAAGTGGAAGGGCAAATTTGATGTGGACTGGTTGTTTGTTAAGGACGTGCCTAATAGCCAGCTGCGCCACATCCGCCTGGAGAACAATGACAACAAGCCAGTGACCAACTCCCGTGACACCCAGGAGGTTCCTCTGGAGAAGGCCAAGCAGGTGCTCAAGATCATCACCACCTACAAACACACCACCTCCATCTTTGATGACTTCTCCCATTATGAGAAGAGGCAGGAAGAAGAGGAGGAGGTGCGCAAGGTAGGTCATCTCACTGTTACCTTAAATACACCAAAAATATGTATTTGTCACCTTTTGAGTAGAGTAGAATATAAGCGTGTTCGTACTCACTTTTTTATTTTTACTTTTTATGTCTGTGAGACTAAGTCTTGTTTTTCTCTCTGTTTACTCTTGTTTGCTTATTTGCTCCCTTTGACAGACTTTTGAACCTCCTCAGATACAGAACCGCTCTCGGTTGGATCAGGTAAGAGAACTATTTTCTTGTTAGTGTCATTGACTATCCCTCGAGAATTAAGGGCTTTTTCTGACAGCTATTGATGATTGCTCTTAATTGTGCTGTTCACGCAGTGAAGGTGAAATTTTAGATAATAAATACATGTGGACCTCTGCTCAACAAAATATCTTGCATTTTACTGTGCTGTTATTTAATGTTTGTATGTCTA